CTAAGGGATCTCCCGGATCATTTCTAGCATTGGCAAAGCTGTGATCCTGTTAAGAGTCCGAGAGATGCCGGGAGAACCAGTCCCAAAGGTGAAGTGGCCAACCTGGGTCACCTGACTGGGTACCAAATTCTCTGCTCATGTTTGCCATTGAAATACTTGCTGTCCAAGAGGCAGGCAAACCAAATACAGTCTTGATTTTCCCAGGGACCCGCACTTGCCACCCCAGGGCCTAATCCTAGGAAGATTCATGGCAAGGGGTGGTAAGAGCGGGTGAGAGTATCTGGCTGGGTTAAAACCGAACACAGCAAAAAAAAAAAAAAAAAAATCACAGGAAAGAGGAAACAAAGCTTTCACCTTCCCCCCTATAATCTTTGGATCACACCCATCCCGCCTGGATGGCTAACCTCCTCCATTTCTAAGAGGCTCCCTAAGAAGAGATTTTTGCTTTCGATTTTGTAAACAGAGCCCTTTCCCAAACACCTTGGCGGTGCAGAGACATGGCCCCCTGAAATCCCACGGTGGTGGAGAAGTTGCATAGCGTTACAAGATTTTGGTTGCTGGAGTGTTCTGACAGAGCCACACAAGGCTGACCTCCTGAGTACCTTCCAGCCACCAGATAGCAGAAGCATGGGAGACTGGCGGGTTAGAACCGGTGTGGAAAAACTCTCACTGGGGAAAATACCTGTCATGATGATGAACTGAAAAGCCAGGATATTAAATAGCAGAGCAAGCAGGCAAGCAAACAAAAAATCTGCATGAACACCGAAATATCAACAGTGGTTGCCAGCATATGGCGAGGTTTTCCGTCCAGGTTTTCTACCAGGGGCATGCACTTCCCTTGCACTCCGGGGGAGAAAACAACTTTAAAAGCCTGTCCATCCAGCGGTACCTTCTAGGGAACTTTTAGAGGGGCAGCAAAAAGCTTCATCACTGGCTTACCCCCTGGCGTTACCATCGGGTTTGAAATTGTCAAGGTATCTACTTGAAATTGTCAAGGTATCTACTCCTTGTTATGCATCCCCCTCCCCCGTCTTCCAGGGCCCTCAGCATTTGCTCGTCCTAGACAGGTCACGGTGGTGGCCTCCAAGAACACCTGCCAGGGCGGAGCAGAGAGAGAAAGCGGCTTCTGGAGACGGGCTCCTCTGACTTTACTGTCTTGTTTTTGTTTGTTTTGTTTTGTTTTTCAAGAACCATCCTGGAAATCATATGGGCCCAAATCAGGAAACTTGGGTCATAGTCCTAGCTCTGAACTCAAGCAAGCACCTTCCCTTCCCTGGGTCTCAGTTTCCCCACTTGTAAAAGAAACAGACTAGACTTTCTGACGGCTGAAGTCCCCTCTGGCTCCGATATTCTAAGAGCCAGGCATTCAGGTTTAAGGGCTGCACAGGCTGATAAATCTAGGGCAAGAGAGAATAAGGGGACTGTTGGCAGCTCAGCCCAAGTAAACAACTCTGGATGGAAGGCAGGGCCAATCGGCCTCTGGAGATAAGGGTTGGGACTGAGGGGAGGGAGGAGTCAAGAATCAGTCTGAGGCCACAGCTAGTGGGAGAGCTCAGCACGGCCCCTGGGAGGGCTGCCTCTGGCCAGGGTCTTGGGGCAGTCTGGGCTGAAATGGGGAAACCCGAACAAGCAACCCGTTTCTTTGGGGAGCCAGAGCTCCCAGGAGAGGCAGCCAGTGTGCCAAGGGCTCGATCCAAGAGAAGGAGAACAAAAACTGTTAACAGGCCAAGCGGGCCACCTGTCCAGGCTGGGGAGAAGCGAGACTCTATATGAAGCAAGACAGAGATCCTGAGAAACCACCAAACCTGTGCTAAACTGGGCTCTAAAACAAGTCTCTGACCTGATTGTGGTCAGACCTCCTGGGAGAACGCAGAGGACCCTAGAGTGGTCAGGTGGGTTTCCGTCCCAGTTCTGCTGCTGCGTGCCCTTCCCCTCTCTGAGTTTTTTTTAAGTCTTTTATTATTTATTTTGAGAGAGAGAGAGAGAGAGAGAGCAAGAGAGAGAGCGAGCATGCACGGGAGAGAGAAATGGAGAGAGAGAGAGAATCCCAAGCAGCATGGAGCCCAATGTGGGGCTCGAACTCACGAACTGAACTGTGAGATCATGACCTGAGCCAAAATCAAGAGTTGGACTCTTAACTGACTGAGCCCCCCAGGCATTCCTCCCCACTCTGAGTTTTACTCATCAAATGAGCGTGGTCCCCTGCACCCAAGACATTCTAGGGTCCTCCTGTGGCAGGTGAAAGACAGTGTGGTCCCTCTCCAAGCAAAGGGTAACTTCCATCCAACACGGAAGGTTCTCTTACAGCTGCCAGTGGCAAGAATGACCCATCCAAGCTTCACAACCAAAGTGAAAGCAAAAGCCCGGAGCCAGAAGCAGACCCTTCACCACATTCTGGAACTTTCCTAGCGCTTAGGGAGAAAACTCTGCTCGGTCCCTCGAATGCCACCTTAATTTGGAGCCCCGGGGAAGAGAGACCCAGAGCCAAAGCCCTTCATGCTTCAGCCTTGTCCAGCCCTGGGGCTCTGCAGGGTTTTACTGCCAGGCCCACGGAGGGAGAGAACATTTACCAGAACCATGACCCGAAAAACAGGAGCCCTGAAAGAGGCAGGATGCCCAGGAGACGGGCTCCTGGCTCAGCCTCCAGCTTTGCCATTCTTCACACAGAAGCTCCTGGGTCCTGTGCCTCCTGGAGCCAGGGAGTGGGGAGCCATAGGTGGGGGGAGGGGGGGAGGAGGGGCGCTTGGAACCTGCCAAGGTCCCGGGCACTCGCCCGCTCTCTCTGGTAGAAGACAGGCTGGCAGCTTGGACCCCACACCAAATCCACAAACGTCACCCTTGACCAGTGGGCACGTGTTAAGACCGCGTGTTAATCTCCGCCTCCTGTGTGGGTCTCCACTCCAGCACCCCCTGCCTCATTCCCACTGCCCCCAGCCTAGAGGTCCGCCTCCTCCCACCCCCTGCCCCCAGCAGCCTTCCCCAGACTCTCATGTGACTTCACACAGCCAGAGTTATCTTGCTCACATGTCAACAGGATCGAATGACTCCCTTGTGTCTTTCTTGTTCAGTGATCCATACCGAGCACCTAGAACAGGGCCTGGGCGATGGAAGGCACTCTGTCACCATCTGTTGAATGACTCCAAGGCGCTCACATGAGAAAGTCCCATCTGTAACGACCAGCCCCCTGCCTGTTCAGTCTAGCTCATTCCAGCCGCTCTGTTCCCTTCACTTTCCCCACCTTCCCACAAACCTGCCTGCCACTGCCTGAGCACACCCCTCCAGGCCCAGCACACCCCATTACCTCCACACCTCTGGGCCTTTGCTTATGCTGTTCCATCTACCCAGACACCCTTCCTCCCTCTCCCTGGGGGACTGATACACTGTTCAATATTCCAACATTCGTTTTTTAGCAGGACCTCCTCAGCCTGAGTTATTTTCTGTCTCTTGTTCTCCTCTAAGCCCTGTGACATAATTTCCTACAGAATACTTGCTAGGGGCTAGGCATGAAGGTCCCACTTAGGAGGGCATCATTCCCAGAGTACAGATGAAGAAACCGAGGCTCGGTGAGGCAGGTCACACACAGTGAGCCAGTGCTGGGGCCTGACTGTATCACCGCCTCCCAGCAATGCTTGTCATTTACCAGTCACGAGGCTGGGAGCTTTTAAGGCCCCTGGGCCCTGCATCCCTGGGGCAGGCCTGGCCCTGGCGCAGCTCCCAGGAGGTCCCAATCACCCAACCCCTGGACAGAACCTCCTGAGGAGCAGATACACCGCCAGCCTCCTCCCCTTCCTCTCTCTTCTGCCTTTTTTCCCAGGCTGGGCAGTACCTCTGGCAGGCTGCAGAGGAAGTGTTTGGAGGGAAAGGGGCTCCTTCCCAATTCCCCGTTTTCCTATAAACTTAGGTCGAGATCCTCGTGTGACAAGTCTCCAAAGCGCAAAAGCCGTTCACAGGTCCCAGAGCCGACCTTTCAACTAGAGAAGCTATGCTCCAAACAAACCACGCAGAACGAAAACCAAAATCCAGCCCTACAGGGTAACCCCTCTCCAGTGGCACTTCTGGGCTGACCCCGGCCCCGGCCCCGCCCCCGCCGCCGCGGCCCCGCCCCCGCCGCTCCCGCGGAGCCTGGGTTCCCAGGGCCCGGACCACCCGCGCGGCTCGGAGGGATCTGGCCGGGGGCCACCCAAGCTCAACCGAGAGTGCACAGGTGCCGCACGCCAGCGGCCGGCCGGGGAACCGTAAGGACATCCAGGTTCCCTGTCCCCCCACCTCTCGGTTACGGAAAGCTTCCTTTCTCTAGGTGACCATCCCTGTCAACCAGACTTGGCGCTCCCAGGCCACACGTCTCCCGTCAGGAAGCAGACAAAAGATCTGGGTTGGACGGCAGGCAAGTACCTGCTGTGTGCCAGGCACGAGTGCCCCCGCCTCATCCCAGGGGGCAGTCATGCGCATTGAACAGCGAAGAAACTGAGTTTCACCCCACTTTGCTCGCGCCCGGTTTCTCACCGTTTTTTTTTTTTTTTTTCCTAGTACGTGAAACACACACTCCAATCGAAATCCCTGAAAAGCCTCGATTTCCATAAAAGTTAGGGATGGGAGAAGGGGGGTCCATCGCGCAGCGCCAGGGTGGTTTCCGGGGACTTCCTGGGAAGCTCGGCTCTAAGCACGGGTGGAAGGTGCCTCTTGGGGGAGGCCAAGGGTTCGAAACCCGCCAGGCGGAGGGCACCTGTCCCCGCCCACGGGGAGCCCCGGAGGCCGGGCGCCTTCCCCCGGCCGAGGCCAGCGCGATGCCGGGAGGCGGGGGGTCCCGCACCGCTGGGGCGCGGCTCCGGCGACTGCGGGTTCCGAGTCCTCCCGGCCGCAGACCCGGGACAGGAAGCTCCCGGATGGACGGACGGACAGACAGACCCAGCCTGCCCTCGACTCCCTCCCCGGCCGGGCGGGGAGCCAACACTCACTCCGCCGGGCGCCGCGGAGCGGAAGGCGCGGCGGCGCAGACTCACCCGGGCGGCTGCGGGGCCAGCTCGGTCACGGTCGCACTACCGGGGACCGGGGGCTCCACGACCCCGTCCCCTCGGGCTGCCTCTTCCGGGGCGCTGTGATCCCAGGGCTCGGGGAGTCCCGACCCAGCGAGGCGGTGGCGGAGAGGGCGCACCGCCCGCGCCGGGACCGGGATGGGGACGCAGGAAGCGCAGCCTCGAGGCGCCGGCGTGCAGGAGGGAGGGACGGCGAGAGGCCGAGGGCGGCGTCGGCCCCGAGCAGCCTCGGGCCTGGAGAGGCGCCGCCCACCGGCCGACCCTCCCGCCCTGCCCTCCGAGCCACCCCCGGGCCGGCGGCACCCACGTCCTCGGGTGGGCTGGGGGAGTGCCGGGCGGGGACGCTAGGCCAAGTCCTCCCCCGCCCCCTGCCGCTAGGAGTTGGCGAAGCAGGGGTGGGGGGAGGGAGCAGGGTCCAGACGTCCCCAACCCCGGGCCGCGGAATGGGACGTGGGGGTGGGAGGGGGGGAGGGTGACTCGGGCCGGGAGTCCAGGTTAGTTAAGGGTTAAGTAGAGCTGGGAGACTCCCCCGCCCCGGAGGCTGGTACGGCCCTGCGGACCCGCCTGCCGCGCCTCCACCTGGCGGGACGCTCACCTGGCCGCCCGGTGCGCCGGCCTCTACCCCCACTTCCTGGGGAGGCTGCCGCCTCCCTCTCCACCCTAGGGCGTGTTCGGGGCGCCGGGGCCCGCCCGCACCGCCCTGGGCCGGTGGTTTGCGAGGTGACTGATGGGTGGAGTTGGGGAAGAAGGAAGCAGGTTTTTAAAAAGCGAGTCGGCTCCTGCCCTCCGCCCGGTCGCCCACTCCTCCCCGGTCCCCTGAGCACCCCCTGCGGGTTCCCGGTGGCCCGGCCCCGGGTGGAGCCCCTTCGGGGAGCCCGCGCCTGCTTACGGGATGCGGGCGCCCTGGCCGGAGAATTTCGCCTGCCCGGTGCTCATTCCCAGCTTTCCGGGGAACTTTCCCGGTGGAACACGGGCTGTCGTCGTCTTGACCACCGGGATGCGGGCGGCGGCCCACCTCTGTTTAGCGCCTCAGAACCGCTGCCTGAGACCTGGCTCTGGGGAGGGTAAGCCCGAGCTGGCGAGGGCGCCTCTGCCCCCCGCACCTGGAGGTTTGCCCTGGAACCTGTGCGGCGCCCAAATTGATCTCAGCCAGACCGCAAAAGAAGCTGGGTTCTGAACACAGGGGGAGAAGGGAAGCCGCCTCCTCTCCCAATCTCAGGTTGTTTGAATTCCAAGAGAGGACAGGCCGGGGTCCCCTTCTCGGTCCAGTTCTTTGAAGTTCAAACCCTGAGAAAAGCCAATAGGCAGCTGGCCAGGTATCAGAGACTATCCCTGAGGACAGAAGGCGCCTCCTATTGGGAATCGGCTGTGTCCGGGATGAAATTAGACACCCTGGTGGAATCGCAATGGAGTTCACTTCCAAACTGCCAAGTTCATGGGTCAGCATCATCCGAACGTGTGTATACCTATGTTGCCCCATGTGGGTATTTTTTTTTCCCCCGTTGTTGCCTTTTAACTTGAACAGTCGCCATCTAACAGGACCCTCGTGTCCACAAATAGGCATATTTGGGGCTGTCTTGTGATTTGGGGGTGAGGAAAGCATTTAGGGAAACAGTGATGCGTCTCCATGAGTATGACAGTAACATCTCTCACATCCTCACTATGGACCTGTTGCCAGGCAGCTACTCACTGCCCAGCCCACTTAATCCTTGTAACAACCTCAGGGATACTTTTGGGTTACACCCATTTTATAGAAGAGAAAGCTGAGGCTCTGAAAGGTGAGGTCATCAATTGCCCAAGGCCACACAGCTGGGAAGTATCAGGAGTTAGATCCCAGCTCGTGGGCTCCAAGGCCCGCGCTCTCCCTGCTTTGGGAGAACTCCTTGTCACTGTGCACACACTCTCCCCCTTGAGACAAGGTTCCCTGCTTCTCCTGTCTGTCCTTCAGGAAAAGAAGTCGCTTCTGTCTCACTCTGCACCGTGGCATAACTCTTTACAAAGTCTGCCTCCTGCTCTCCTTGAGGATAGGGACCGCTGTGTCCCGCCCACTTCTCCTGGCCCTCGGCAGGTGCTTAATTAATTTTTGGGGGGGATGAATGAGAGCCCCAAATAGTCACATTATTTTATTGAATGGGGAGAACTCTCTGTGTAGGCAGGTGCCTGTGCTGACAAGCTCACATCGGAGAGCTGTATATTCCATCACCAAGTTTAGACCGTGAATTTGGGAAACTTCCAGTCTCCAAATGGTTGATGGGAAACAGTCCCACTTTCAGATAAGACCCAGAATCTGGCTTTCATTTCACTCTGCAAGACCGACTTTGGAGAGGCCTGGACTGGGGAAGATCATTTCGGAGAGCGGCTGCAGCTCCGACCTGCAGGCAAAGGGCGTCCGTACTTTTCCACGCCTGGATCCTACTCCAGAGCCACCCAGCTCTGCTGCAAACCTAACCGGGCAGGTCTATCTCAGCAAATCATCCTCAGAGTGTTCCTTTTAGGCAGCTCACCCTGGCTAATCTGGGGAGAGGCTGGAGAAATTCCCATCCAAAACAGAGCCACAGGCAAAACTAGAAACTGTCAAACTTGTCGGGTTTTTTTTTTTTTGTTTTTTGTTTTTTGCCACGTCTCTCCTTGTCATCCTACCCTTCGCAGCCCTTTCCCTCTACACGGTGAGTTTCTCTGATTCTTCTCTGGTTCGCTGGGTCTTGTTGAGGAACCAGACTTGACTGACAAGGGCCCAAGATATGTCCTTGGGGAAAGAGCCAAAGAAGTAAATCTCGAATGGTGGAAATTCTGTTAGCCGTGACCATAACAGGCACTGGGGGAAGACGATGATTCCCATTTACTGAGCACTATGTTTCAAGAGTTCTGGAACATTGTATTGTTTAATCCTCAGAACAGCCTTAGAAGGGAAATTCTATTATTTTGGTGTTTCAGGCCAGGCTGAGACTCAAGAGAAATTACACACCTCCATCTGCTAACAAGTGGTAGGACCAGGATTCGAACTGATGTTATGTGCTTGCTGTTAACCACTAGGCTAGGAATTCCAGGGGACAGGAAGGATCAGGGCTGCCCAAAGACATTCATATTCAAATGCCCATTCGAATGCAGATGTGTTACCTTACATGGTAAAAGGGATTTTGCAGATATGATTCAGTTAGGGCCCTTGACGCGCGGGGTGATTATTCTGGATTATCCTGGTGGACTGGGTGTCGTCACAGGGGTTCTTAGAAGAGGGAGGCATGAGGGTCAGAGAAAGAGATGTAGTGGTGGAAGCAGAGGGCAGAGCGATGTGTCCTGGGAGGGACTATGAGCCCAGGAATGTGCTAGAAGCTCCTAGAAGGTGGAAAAGGTCAGTGATGGATTCTCCCCTGGGCCTTCCAGAAGGAGCATGGCTTTGCTGACACCTTACTTTTAGCCACCGAGACAGAGTTTGGACTTCTGACCTCTAGAATTGTATGATAATAAACTCGTGTTGTTCTAAGCCATGAAGTTTGTGGTGGTTTGTTGCAGAAGCCACAGGAAACCAACAGGTCTTGCAAACTCAGCCATGTAGACAGATGTAGACGCCTACCTTTGTCCACCATCGATCTCTTCTCCTAAGAGGCACCGTGATCCAGCCTGAACCATGAATTTAGGATGAGGCTGGGATTTCATTAGCTCCATCTTTTCGTTTCTGGGTCCTCTGCTGCTTATGAGCTGTGTGACGCTGGGAAGATATCTTGTCCTCTCTGAACCTCAATTTCCTCATCTGTAGAAACAGTGATGCTAAGGGGTGCCTGCGTGGCTCAGTCGGATAAGCATCCTACTTTGGCTCAGATCACGATCTTGCAGTTGAGGAGTTCAAGCCCCGCATCCGGCTCTGTGCTGACAGCTCAGAGCCTGGAGCCGGCTTCAGATTCTGTGTCTCCCTCTCTCTCTCTGCCCCTCCCCTGCTCACACTGTGTCTCTCTATCTCTCTCAAAGGTAAATAAATATTAAAAAAAAATTTTTTTAAATTGGTGCTAACAATACCTACTTTGCAGGAACCAGTGCCATCTGAACACGATCACTTGGGGCACCAGCTTGTCCCTTTGCAAACGTCTGGATTCTAAGAGGAGAAGACGCTCCTCTGAGCATTCTCCTGGCAAACATTTCTGCTCTCTCGGGCTGAGTGGGCAAGATGCTAATTTAAAATATTGGACTGTCTCTGGCTAGTGACTAGTCCTCAATCGGTCAGGAAGTGAAGCTGAAAATCTACTTAGAGGAATAGATAACCGCGTAGAACTCACCCAGGTTCTCAAGAACAGGTGTTCAAGGATTTTCATGGCTGACTACTTATAACAGCGAAAAATGGTTAGCAACCTGAATGCCACCAGAAGAGAGCTGAATAAATTCTGGTGTGGGCTTGTGCCGGAATGCTGTGTGGATGTGAAAAAGAAGGAGAAAGAGCTATCTGACAGGGAAGAGTATCCAACATGTATCATTAACTGAGAAAGGCAAGGGACTGAACATGATCATGCCACACAAACGGTTTTATTTTTTTAAGATGTAGACACATATATTTTACTTATGCCTAGAAAATGCATGGAAGGGGTGCCTGGCTGGCTCAGTTGGTAGAGCAGGTGATCTTGGAGTTGTAAATTCGAGCCCCATGTTGGGTGCCGAGGTTACTTAATAAATACATATTAAAAAAAAAAAAAAGAAAAGAAAAGAAAATGCATGGGAGGAATGAAACCAAACTCTGGTTACCCTTAGAAATGGAAAAGTGAAAATGTGTGTGTGTGTGTGTGTGTGTGTGTGTGTGTGTGTGTGATGGGGGACATAATTTTTTTCAATAAGAATGTATTAAATTAATAGCATAAACGAAGAAAAAAAAAAGGAGGCCAGGACCCTTTGCTCCTGTGCCTTCCCTGCTGACTCTCTTTTCCTTTAGTCCATTCTGAGCAGGTGACTCCTTCTTCCTATTTACTCTTGACGCGGCTCGTTTCTAAACCCTTGAGGGGCTGAGCAATGTCTCCACTGCGTGACTCTTGCCAGAGTCAGCAGCAAATCCCATACGTACGTGTACTTGGAACGTGGCCTTCATCTGGAGCGGTTCACATTAGTCACTGGGAAGGGACGTGTCTTGCGTGCGGGCGTCACCTGTGACATACCGAGCCAGCCTCTCGGAAGCTTGAATCAGGGCTGCGTGACGGAGACATTGTGCTCATAGAGTGCACGGTGAAATCGGGTAGTGGGACTGTCGGCTTAAATGAAACCGGGTTCATCCCACTTCCTGGAAAATGTGCGTGTCAAAAAATACGTCTCTACCTGAGTTGCCAGTGTAACTGGGCCTGTGTGGACGAATCAGACAGCCCAGGATGGAGCTAGTGAGGGCCTCACGGCATTAGAGCACAGCGTCTTGAGGCCCGTGGGCACAGACAGCCCCGATTCTCTCTCCTTATCACCCATGTTCTTTGGTGTCCCATCCCCTAGAACCTTCTTCTATGTCTCCTCTGCAGTGTGGTTCGTCCAGCTGCTTCCTCCCTGGCGTCCCTGCTCCCAGCCCGTCCCCTGGAAGGTCTTCTCCCTGTCGCACGGTTAGCACTATGAGACACAGGCCTGAGCCGCGGTTCCCCAGGGCCCTAGCACCGAGTCCAAACTTCTTGCCCAGGATACGAGGACTTCCTAACTGCTCAGCCTTGCTCATCACTCCCTCAGGCTGCAGGCCCTGTCACTCTTCCATGGTCGCTTTTCCATCAGTGATGAAACATTTCCCAGAAGCTCCCTGGGAACTTGCTTGATCCCTCCCTCGAGGGGACTCGGTCACATACTCATTCTGAAACCCGTCACCGACGAGGGCCTTCGAGACCGCTGTGGGCTCTCAGGATTCACCTGGGATCACGGGGGTCGGTGCAGACCCCCGAACCAAGTAGAGTTTCTGCCAAGACGAAGAAGTGGCCAAGGCACCCGCAGGTGCCGGGAGGCCACCCGGTCAAACAGAGGCAGGAAGCCGGCTGCAGAGAGAGCAGGAGAGAGAAGCCTCCTGGATTGCTCTCCGCCTTCCTTCCAGCTCTTAGTGCTTGAGCAGCATTCTTGTTTTTCCCGTGGGTTTCCTTGTTTTTACTTAAACTAGTCTGATGAGTTTCCGTTTCCTGCAACGAAAGGATCCTAAGAGAATCCCTTTGAAGCTCTTGCAAACGGCTGAACACAGTGCTAGAGGCCAGGCCCGGAGGCCCTGATCCTCTCCGGGTCAACTCACCACGGGGATACCTGCGCGGAAACCGCCAGCAGCAGGCGCCGGGGCCCTGGGTGACTTGGATTCCGGGAAACCCATTCACTTCTAGGATAAGTAAGTCATGACGATAGCAGCGGACGTTCACACAGCGCTAACTACTTGCCGGGCACCGTCCCACACGCGTCCCAAGTACTGTCTCGTTAATCATCCTCGTAACCCTAGGAAGAAGGTACTGTGCTCCGCCCCCCTTGTCCAGATGAGGAAACTGAGACACAGAGAGGTTAAGTGACTTTTTCAAGCTCACTCAGCTGGTCGTTGCTGGCGCCTGGCTGTGAACCCAGGCTGCCTGTGCTCTGTGCGCCCACACACTCCTCTCCACGCTGGCTCTCGTGCTAGTGTGGCCCGCGATGCTCTCAGGGACTCGGGATCCGGGTTTGGAGGGTGGGAGAGGAGTCTGGGAACTGAGACTCGGCTTCCGCTGGCTGAGAAGGACCCAAAGGACGACAGTGTCTTCCATCCATTCCACACATACTGCTGGAGTGATATTGACGAAAGTGGTTTTGTTTTGTTTTTTTTTCTTTTTTATTTATTGAAAAAAACTTTTAAAAATAGTTGTTATTGAAGAGACAGAGAGAGACAGAGCATGAGCAGGGGAGGAGCCGAGAGAGAGGGAGACACAGAATCCGAAGCAGGCTCTGGGCTCCGAGCCGTCAGCACAGAGCCCGACGCGGGGCTGGAGCTCACAGACCGCGAGATCAGGACCGGAGCCGGAGTCGGACGCTCAACCGACGGAGCCACCCAGGCGCCCCCGGTTTTGCTTTTTTCTTTCCCTTTTGCTGTTTCAGCCAGTGGCTCTTCTTACTTCGGGCTAAGCCAGATTCAGCAGAAAAGCAGAGATCCCATTTCTGAGTATCAAGAATCAAGACTTCGGCGTCGTAAGAACCCGAGCTTCGAGTTTCAAAAGTGGGAGCCCCGGGCGTGCGTAAAGTTTATGGCATTAACAAAAGGTTTGGAGACTAAGCAACAATGTTGGACTAAGATCCAACAATCATTTGCCCAGACCCAGATAAGGTCAGGTGTCTCCGGGCTGGGGGTCTGCGCAGAGGGGCCGAGGAGGGTGGAAACAGTTATGAGGACGTGGGTCTCCAGAGAGGTGAGTGGTGGCAGGAGCGATGGCCCTGTGCCAGCTGTGAGAGTGGGTGTGGGTTGGGGCGGGGGAGCCCAGGTGTCTCTCACCCCGTATGGCGTGGGAGGGGATGGTCACGGAGTGGTTGGCAGAGGGGCCGAGCCGCCTGTGCCCTCAGAGTGACAGGGCCTGTGACAGGCCCTGCCAATGTCTCCCGTGGGCCTGCGAAGAGGCCGAGAGAGGAAAGTTGGAGAAGCTGGGCGAAGAGAGGAGGCCGGGAGGGCACGTCTGCCGCCCGGAAGACAGAAATGAGGCCATCGCAGCAGGTGCCAGAGAAGGCCAGGTTGCCGCGGGCCCCTGCCCGGGGCTTGGAACTCTGTGAGCTCCCTTCACCAGGAAAAGAGATACGGACACAACCCAGAACAAGCTATTAACTGTGGTTCCGCGTCTCCCGCCCAGCAGAACGGGGACTTGAAACAGAAATTAAGCCCAGTCGTGGGGCGCCTGGGTGGCGCGGTCGGTTCAGCGTCCGACTTCAGCCAGGTCACGATCTCGCGGTCCGGGAGTCCGAGCCCCGCGTCGGGCTCTGGGCGGATGGCTCGGAGCCTGGAGCCTGTTTCCGATTCTGTGTCTCCCTCTCTCTCTGCCCCTCCCCCGTTCATGCTCTGTCTCTCTCTGTCCCAAAAATAAATAAAAAATGTTGAAAAAAAAAAAAAAGTATGTTGCTTGGTTGACTGAGTCTCTGCCCTGCCTCCCCTCCCAGGACTTCTGCAGGGTTCAGCTGAAAAAGTCTGTGAGCACTTCCATGACTGAATAAGCTCCGTGGGTTGTACCAGCGTCAACATCCTGGCCACGCTGTTGTATGAAAGCTACACAAGACATTACCACGGGGAAACACCGGGTGAAGGTCATAAAACCTTCCTGTAATTTTTTTTTTTTTTTTTGCAATTTCCCGTGAATCTGTTACTATTTCAAAGTAAAGACTTCAACCGAAATAGAATAAATACATAGGGACAAAATGGAAATAAGAATTCCCCAAAACGAGGAGCCTGGGAGGCTCAGTCAGTTAAGCGGCCGACTTCGGCTCAGCTCATGATCTCACGGTTCATGAGTTCGAGCCCTGCATCGGGCTCTGTGCTGACAGCTCAGAGCCTGGAGCCTGTTTCAGACTCTGCGTCTCCCCCTTTCTCTGTTCCTCCCCTGCTCACCCTCTCTCGCTCTCTCTCTCAAAAATAAATAAACATTAAAATAAAAAAAAAAAAAGAATTCCCCCAAACATGTGCAGCATAAAAATAGTTAAATTCCCTAGATCACTAGAAGAGGGGAGAGACTCAGATCACAAACTCGAACCTGCAGGAAATAGAACTACTTTTCCATGACTCAGCCTGATTTATCTCAGGAGCTCCTATTCTGCCACGTGGCAGAAATGTTTCCCTCCCCCGTCTGCTGGGGTTGCACCTAAATTCTGCAGCCTTGTGTCAAGTGAAAGCCTCCTAGGGGCACATCTGGGGCAGATGCCATCCGTCCCTGTTCCCAGACTGGCTGCTGGGCTGTGGGTCCCCGCAGGTCCGTGCTGAGCCTGAGGGAAGCTGGCAGGACCGATGAGTCACTACCTGGCGTCCTCTGATTCGCATGTACTCCACAGATACATTTTATTTGACCCATATGGTATTAAAAAAATTTTTCTTAATGCTTATTTTTGAGAGAGAGGGAGAGAGTGACAGAGTGTGAGCAGGGGAGGGTCAGAGAGAGAGGGAGACACAGAATCAGAAGCGGGCTCCAGGCTCTGAGCCGGCGGCACAGAGCCCGACGCGGGGCTCGAACCCACGACCCGCGAGATCAGGACCTGAGCCGAAGCCGGACGCTTAACTTACTGAGCCACCCAGGTGCCCCCTGACCTATATAGTATTTTAAAAGATCAGTTGCCAATAACCTGCAATGGGAGTTTTCCCATAAGATATTTGAAAGGGAAAAAAAAAAAAAAAGATTTTCATGTCTTGTAAAAAATAATAAAGATTTTCATGTCTCGTAAAGACAAAACAAAACAAAACAGAATCTAGACACCTGGGGCAGATCACTCTGGGCACACGACCCAATGGGGCCGTGATCCGCGGGACCCTCCTCTGTGGCGGCTGCCCCTATACAACAGGCATGCCCCCAGTGGATTAGCCACAGTTTCCCCCCATTTCCTATCAACACGGGGCCTGGATTCACTCATTTGCAAAATTTGCCTGGCTCCCATAGACACTTGAGTTGGCAGTCCCCACTTTTTCCTACTGCTGCGTCACCTTTGGGTCCCCGGGGCCCATTTTTCTCCCGCTCCTTGCTGGGGCGAGAAAAACACTGGGGAGCTGTCTCAGACCCGTTTGCCTAGATCTATCAAAGGGCCACTCAGTCCAGGGTCTCGCTGCCCTCCCTGGCTCCACACTGGATAGGGACACGATGGGACATAGCCCAGGGCCCTCATTCTCCCTCCTCCTCCTGACCTGGGAACCTTTATTTTTGCCCTAAGAGGCACGAATCCTTGCTAGTCCAGCTTCCCTGTCTTTCTCCCCACTTTGCGCCCCCCACCCCCGTTCTATTGTCCATACACAACAGTCCTTTCTGTTTCCCCTTATTTCCCAGGCTTTCAAAATCCAAAAGCCAGGATTGTTTGGTTCTCTTTTTTACACTGTGTCCTCCCTTCCTGGAGGCAGATGGTAACATCTGCCTGAATTTTGGGGGGCGGAGAGGATCTTGAAACAGTAACAAAAACTGGGAGTAAAAAACATACCCGTTAACTTATGAGGTCACCCTCCATCATCTGTCTACATGCCAGGGGCTGTGCGAAGCAATTTACGTGTGTTACCTCCTTTCAA